GTGGAAATAGATGTCTTTGGTGACCTTGTAGGTTAGATTCTTTGTGCCCTTTATTCCGACAACTCTGAGAATCTTTAATGATATCACTGAACATCATGACCAGCAAAACTGTGTCCCAAAGAGATAAAGTATGCTCTGTGCCTGAAGAGGTGCTGAGACACGCCCGTGCAGATGTGTGATGAGCTGAGAGAACAAAGCCTCTGCCCCCTTATCAGAGGTTCCCCTTTTCTTCTGGACTTCATTTGTATATCATCTGTGATCTCAACTGGTGTGAAAAGACCTGGGAACCTCGGTTGTTGATTTCACTCTCAAGCTCACAGAGGGCTTTCTCCCTGGCTCTTCCCTGCTCACCCTCCCTTCCCCTGCTAAGAAGAGCTGTCACTATTTCAGTAAGTACAAGCAACAGATCGTTTTAGACTTTAATCCATAAATAAACATTTCTTCCTTTGAACTTCATTAAATTTGGATGTGTTTTCATTTTGACACAATCTGGCATCCCTATCATTTAGACATATAAAACTCTAAAACTAGCAATTAATTTTGGTCTTTAGGAGCACTGGTGGTCTAGAAACAGTGAGTCTATGCCAAGAAAAGCAAATGAAAACCTCAAACATGTAGACATAACACTTAAATCAGAAAATCACAAAGCGTTATGCTCAGTAGCTACAGGAGATTATCTTCAAATTGCTCCTGGTGGTGTCTGTCACATTTCCCAGCTTGTTTAAAGAATTTTGAAGATGGGAGTTCTGTTTCCTTAAACATTATTCATCTGATTACAACAATTGCCTGATGAAAACCTAAAAATTAAGCCACCAGTTGATTGATGGATGGTATTTACCAGCAACTATCCTTTAATTAATTGCAAATACATTCAAGATCTGAGTGCTTATTGGATACAAGGCACTGTGCTACATAGGGGAAGGAGGGGATGTTGGTTTCTTCTTTCAAAGAGCTATGAACTCATGAAGAAGACACTTAACAAAAAGCAATGATCTGTTGGCTCTAAAAGCCAGGCGCATAGACACTGTGCGACTTCCAAAGCCGGGTCATTAAAGGCATCTCAGCTTTGGCCTCAGTGTTTTTTTGGATTCTTCACTCTGGGGTGGGACGGGAAGGGAGGTAGCCAGCCAACCTTCTGCTGAGAGAATTCTCCCGCAGCCCTCTGGGGAGGCCCCTGCCAACAGCCAGCACCGGCTTGCCAGCCAGCGGAGTGTGAGCTACCTCAGAAGCCTCTCCTCCAGCCCTAGTGGCGTCTCCAGGTCCCTGTGGGACCGGCTGACATCTATTGCAACCTCAAGAGAGTCACTGGGCCAGAACCACCACCAGACGAGCTGCTCCCAACCTCCCGACACACAGGCGCTGGGAGAGGTCATGAGTGATTATGTTTGTTCTCAGCAGCCCAGTTTCGGGGCTGCTTGTTACACAACAGATAAGGAATACACTGAGCACCTAGCATGTGTCATATACTGTGCTGGGATTCAAGAGGATGAAGTAGATTGGCAACTCTGTGACCTCCCAGAGCTTATCAGCGATCAAGGAGGTAATCAGTTGTGAAGAAATACAATGAGGCCATACAGAAGATTTTGACCAATAGTTAAGGCTGGCTATGAGACACTTCCAATGAATCGCAGTTGTAATCTACAGGAGTCAAGAGATGATGAAGATGACCACTTGACGTGGGGAGTTAGGAAGCATCCCCTGGGAGGAGAGAGGTCAAGTGGGCTTTGAAGGGGGTGCGCAATGTGGATGGGTGAAGCACGAAAGGAAGCGTTCCAGAAAAAGGCAGAAAAACACCACAGGCTTCAAGGTGGGCAATGCCACCTCTGCTTAGGGTGTGGTGGGAGAATCAGATGGGACACAATGACAGTGGGGTCTGAAGAAGCGTCAAGTCATGAACTTGAAGACAGAGTTGGCTGCCTGGCTGACCTCAGACTTGATCCTGAGACAACAGAAATCATCAGAGATTTTTTTAGTTGTTTTGTGGCAGTGTAAGAATTTAAAAGGGGCTGGCTTACCGTTTCCATTAGTGTTTATTGGCCACCTACTAACGAGTTTACCACTCTACGAGGCATTGTTGGTGACCAAGTTAATAACAAGCTACCCCTGCCCTGAGGGAGCATATAATCTCACTGGGGACACAAAATAGACACATGAACAACAGAGAGCATTGTATCCACATGGCATGAAATGAGAAGGCAGCAGTTAGTCATTTAGATGATCAGTGAAGTCAATAATAGTAGCAAAAGCTTATCTTGTGCTTGCTGGGTGTCAAGGACTATTCCAAGCCTTTCCATACATTAATTCAATTAATACAGCACCTACATGAAGTGGGCTATCTCCGCGACTAGAGATGAGTTGGTTAGTATCTGTATCTTAGAGAGAGGAAACAGGGACACAGAGAGTTTAAGTAACTGCCTGAGAGCAGCAACCAGCCAGTAGATGAAACGTATAGACCCAGAGAGTCTGGCTCTGGAGGCTGGAAGAGCCACATGTTATACTGCCTCTCATATAATCATTTAGGCTTCCCAAGGCCTTGAATAAATCAACTCTTTCAATCCTCTTCCACTTGCTTAATTTGTAGTCAATATATTAATAAATTGTTAGTTATTATCTAGTGCAAGAATGCAGATGTAGCATCAGCATTGCTGAACTTTTGTTTCACTGCATGGGGCTGATAAAATGCTACTGTGGGCCAGGCATGGTGGCTCCTGCCCGTAATCCAAGCCCTTTGGGAGGCTGAGGCAGCAGGATTCCTGGAGCTGAGGAGTTTGAGACTAGCCTGGGAAACAGTGAGACCCTGTCTCTACAAACAATTTAAAAATTAGCCCGGTGTGGTGGTGCATGCCTATAGTCCCAGATACTCAGGAAGCTGAGGTGAGAGGATTGCCTGGGTCCTGGAGGTCAGTGCTGCAGTGAGCTATGGTTATGCCACTGCACTCCAGCCTGGGTGATAGAGACCTTACCTGAAAAAGAAAAAAGCTACTGTAATGGTTTTGAAATATACTAGAAATTGACTTAAGCAGGCTACCTATTTTAGTCACATGGTACACCCATACTTCCACAATTAATATTAACAAACGCCAAGTATTGTGATGTTATTCATTGCATGATGATTTTCATAGCAGGTAGAGAATTCACAGGGTGCAGTGGAAGGGTTCTAGTCCCAGCTCTGCCGCTTGTGGACTGTGTGAGCCTGGGAGTGCTGTCCTTGAAGATAGAAATGTGGAAGTCCCAAGAAAACCAAGACCCTCAGCTTGGAATTTATTATAATTTCCCTCTTTACAGGCGTCAACAGTCATTACGCCTGAAACACGTGGAGCTGAGTAAACGTCAGCTACACATAAACCATTGGGTGTTATATAAGGGTAGGGGTGTATTCTTTTTATTTTTCTTGGTTGTATCTCACAACAATTCTCTGAAGCAGGCCCAGAATTTCCAGACTGAACTGGGAAAGTTCTAGAATACAACGGTAGGGCCTGTCTGGTGTTTTCTTTCCACCACCTTGTTTTGAAAGCAGAAGTACTGGAAATATTGCATAAAAACCCAGGCTGGCTGGATGTCAAGACCTATTTCTAGACCAGAGTGGTTTGGATCAGGTTGAATAAGATTCTGAATGTTTGGATGTGGAGACAAAACCAACCTCAGCCAACTGAGAAATGGCAAACAAACTGAACATTTTCAAATTACAGGATGGTTAAGGGGCTGCGGGCAAATGTCCATGGGCACCAAAGAAGCAATTATCAAGCTTGTTTTTAGCCCATGTCCAGAGGTTCAGTTTTTGTTTTCCATTGCTCTCCTCTGAAGTGCAACTCCTGTTTGCCTGGTAGCAATTGTAATTAAAAGGCCTACTTATTTTTGTGAGTTTCCTCTTAAAATTTTGCTGAAAAATGATTATGTTAGCACTTGTGCTCACTTCCAAATAATTCCTATATATTCAAAAGTTAAAACAATTAAGAAGTTATTAATGAGTAATTATATCATAATAACCTGTGAATTAATTAATCATTCTGTATTAGTCCGTTTTCACACTGCTGATAAAGACATACTTGTGACTGGGCAATTTACAACAGAAAAGAGATTTAATGGACTCACGGTTCCATGTGGCTGGGGAGATCTCACAATCACAGCAGAAGGTGAAAGGCACATTTTACATGGTGGCAGACAAGAGAAGAGAATGAGAGTTTAAGCAAAAAAGATTTCCTCTTATAAAGCCATCAGATCTCATGAGACTTATTCACTGCCATAAGAACAGTAGGGGGAAAACAGTCCCCATGATTCAGTTATTTCCCACCAGGTCTCTCCCACAATATGTGGGAATTGTGGGAGCTCCAATTCAAGATGAGATTTGGGTGGGGACACAGCCAAATCATATCACATTCCAATAGAGTGATTACAATCACATGTAATTATCTCATAGCAGTCTTATTGAATACCTGTTATGATCCAGATACAGTCTGAATACTGAGGACAGAGGTGAATAGGATAGGACCTGGGCCTTGGCCTCAGGGAACTTCCATGACAACAGGGGATGCAGCCCGGGACAATGCAGCCTAAACCTAAGGCATGAGGTCTCAGATATGGCTGAGAACCCTCCCCACAATGGAGTGCTCCAGGACAATTATTCAGCATCAGTGATGTGGCAGAGGCAGCTCAATACAGACTTTCTTTTTTCCCAACTCTTGCAATGTCATTCTGTTTGGATGTATTAGTTCGTTCCCACATTGCTAGAAAGAAATACCAGAGACTGGGTAGTTTTTAAAGAAAGATGCCTTAATTGGCTCATGGTTCTGCTTTTGTGGAGGCCTCAGGAAACTTAACAATCATGGTGGAAGGTGAAGGGGAAACGAGGGGCGTCTTCCACCGCCAGAGCGAGAGACAGGGGGAGGCACTACACACTTTTAAACAAGCAGATCTCACAAGAACTCATTCAGTATTGTGACGCAGCACCAAAGGGAAAATCCGCCCTTATGATCCAATCACCTCCCACTAGGCCCCACCTCCAATACTGGGGATTGCAATTCGACATGAGATTTGGTGGCGCTACAGATCCAAACTGCATCAGTGTATCTGACAGATGAGGAAACAGAGGCTCATGAAGTAAATGGCAACACTGGGACTGAGTCCATGTGTATCTGCCTCCACTGTTTCTCACTTGCCATGTTTCTAGTGTGTGGCTGCGCACCCGCCCACCACTTCCTTTCAACCTGGAAACCACACAAGAAGCTGACTTACCCGGTGGGAAGACCCAGGAGGGGCTAAGGAAGATGTGTTAATTCTGTTTGCACACAGCGAGGTAGTTGAGGAGGGCAAGAAGGCGGAGGCACTTTCCTTTTTCACCTGGCAGGAGAAGTCCCTGATTCCTCGAGCCGCTGATGCCTGCATAGGCAGAGCAGCGGCTTCGGTGGCCACCTCCGTCCTGCTCTGGGAGCTCACAGGAGAGTACCACGTTACACAGTCCCATGCATTTTTAATGACTTGGACTTGAAAAGTGGTTTCAGAAGGTGAGCAAAATACTGAGTTAATTGAGCGCTGCTGCTCGGCTTCCCTCTCCCAATGTAGTCTTCAAGTGGAATATGGCTGAAATATCAGCTGTCAGATGATGAATATTTTAAAGAAAATTCTATTATTCACCCAAGGTTCATTCAGCTCAGTAATGAGAGTAATGAGGACAGTTACCTTTAGGGAAAGGAAGTGAGATCACTCTTGCTGCTTACTGGGGGCTGGTTTGACAGGCATCTACTCTGAGCACCGGGCTCTGTCTGGGAAATCACAGCTGCTTGTCTGAACCTCACCCTGTAGGAAAAAGTCTACCTCACAATGGGTTGGAAGCCTATCTGTGGCAGAGGGCTGGCTGCAAACTATTTTTATTCCCTTGGCTAATGGTTGAGATAGAATCCATCACCTGATGAATATTCAATGAGTGAAGTTAAAAAAAAGGAGAGAAAATGATTCCATCTCTGCTCTCCTGCAAAGCTCTCTGCGGCCCAAGCAGAAAGAAATCACAAAGGCGAGAGAGGACAAGCCAGGAACTTTCCTTTCCTCTTCAATATGCATGGATGCTGGGAAAAGCCTGACCCTGGGAAAGGCAAAAGGAAAAGAAATCAATTTTCAAATTACTTCAGAGAAGTAGTCAGAGAAAAAGGGTACCATCTTGAACTTGAGAGAACATTAAAAGTGAGCAACGTGGATTCCCATTATTACTGCTGCCTCCAGTAGGATTTAGGCTGTTGGCTTTTCCTTGAGTTTGGAATGCAGGTTTGGGAGCAAAAGGGAGAAAAGGAATAAGATTATGCTGCCATAGGATAGGGAGCCTCGACGGGGACAGTCAGAGCTCAGCAATGCTGGTTGCGCTGCCTGGATTTGGTAAAAAGCACACGGCATGTGTTACAGTGCAGAAAAAGAACAGTTCTTCCTCCATGGGCCACGTGATGAAGCCAGTTTTGCTAGTGGTGCAACTGTTGCTTGTCAAGCTGAAATGGAAATACTTGGTATTTTAGTCTGTGCTGTTCCAGCAGGATGCATGTGGCACCATCTGCTCCTCTCGTCGTCCTCCCTGGGCTCCCACCCCCATGCCAGTTCTCTCATCCCCTACGCCATGCTCATGACACGTAGCTTCTTGGTGGTCCCCATGTTGTCCCTGGTTGTCACGGCAGTGCTCCACACTTCAGCATTGTGATGTTTTGCTTGGTGTGAGAACCACATTAGAATGAACTGAGAAGCCAGGCACCCCCTGTGGAAGTGTATGGAACACTCTATAATAAACGCTGCCATGGATACCGTGTCCTCTAGGTACCTTGTATTTATCAAGCATATTACAGATTGTTTAATCCTTGCTGGAACCTAATGGCATACGTTGATTTTTTTCATTTTACAATAAGGTAAACGGGGATCAGAGGGGTTATGTGGTCTGATGAGAATCACATGGCTTTAGATTGTCTAAAAGGAGCAGCTAGGGCTTGAACCCAGACCTGTCACCCATAGTCCCTGCTTTCCTTTCCTACCTCCAGGGAGACACGGGGGGTGGGATAAGGTAGACTGGCCTTAGGGATAGAAGGCTCTTGCTGGGACTCCCCTCCACCTCCCCTGGGCTGTCGGAAGGTGAGAAGTTGCCTTTACTCTTCTCTCTGCTGTGTTGCTTCCTGGTCGTGGGTGGTTATAACCTTGGCCCAGGCAACTGTTTGTGGAATACCAGGTGTCCAAGCCCACACAGGGGAAGGGAAAAGGGAAGTGTAGGAAGAATTTCTAGCATAAAATCGACACCCAGAGGAGACAGGGTTGTAAGTGAGGATGGCCAGGAGCCTTGGGCAGGTCCTAGCGTGCAAAAGCTGGAATGGAGAAGCTGGCTGGTGGGAAAAGAAACACATTTGGTTCCAAAGTCTGATCATGACAATCTAATATTAGAAGCACAGAGGTCTGCTTTTCACCTAGAAATACTTAACAGAGTTTCCTAGCCCCATAAAAAGGTTCTGGGCTTGTGACACAATGAAATAATGCCTAATGGAAAGACTGAGTGATTCAACTGTGGAAAGTAAAATGCTCTTTTCTGCTATCGTGACCCTCCCTACCCTGATTGGTTTCTGCTGGTGCTGCTTCCAGAAGCAGAACATTCTAGACTATTGGAATATTAATAGTAATGACTGGCACTATGTAGCCACTATGGGCAGAATATCAGATGTATTATTTCCATTTAAGAAGTAAAACAATCCTAAAAATAATGACTATTTTTCCTATTTATGGAAGATAAACTGAAGCTCTGAAATGTTGACCACTTTCTCCAGATACCATAGACAGTAAGCAGCAGGAGGGGAGTTTCAACTCAGACCTGCTTCCAAAGCCTGGATTTCTACTAGTCCTCTCCTCTCTTCTTCCTTTCCCTTTGCCTCCCTCCCTCCCTCCTTCTTTTTTTCTCTCTCTCTTTCCTTCCTTCCTCTCTTCCTCTCCTCCTCCTCCTCCTCCTTCTTCTTCTTCCTCTCTCCCTCTCTCCCTCTCTCTCTCTCTCTCTCTCTCTCAGTTCTTGCTCTGTCACCCAGACTGCCATGCAGTGGTATGATCATGGCTCACAACATCCTTGAACTCCTGGGCTCAAGTGATCCTCCCACCTCAACCTCCCAAATAACTGGGACTACAGGTCTGCACCACTTCACCTGGCTAATTTTTAAATTTTTTTGTAGAGACGGGGCTCTCACTATGTTGTCCAGGCTGGTCTTGAACTCCTGGCCTCAAGTGATCCTCCTGCCTCAGCCCCCTAAAGTGCTGGGCTTATAGGTGTGAGCCATTTGATTTGTTTTTGTATTTTGAGTATGTATTTCCTTTGTTTTTAATAGAATTGAATTACTAGTTTATATACATATATTTTTCAAATGTTTTATTTCCATAGGTTTTTGGGGAACAGGTGGCATTTGGTTACATGAGTGAGCTCTTTAGAGGTGATTTCTGAGATTTCGGTGCATCCGTCATCAAACAATATGCACTCACCCCGCTTCCAGCCTTTCCCCGGAGTCCCCAAAGTCCATTGTGGCATTCTTATGCCTTCACGTCCTCATAGCTTAGCTCTTACTTATGAGCGAGAATATACGTTTGCTTTTCCATTCCTGAGTTACTTCACTTAGAATAATGGTCTCCAATTCCATCCGGGTTGGAGTGGAATCTCCATTAATGAATTAATGTACTGCCATTCATTCATTCCTTTTCATGGCTGAGTAGTATTCTGTCATATATATACCACAGTTTTTTTTTATCCAGTTGTTGATTGATGGACATTTGGGTTGATTTCTTTATTACACCCAGGGATGCTGCTTTGAAGCATTCTTTATTATTTTTATCTATGTGTAAATGGGCAACACCATGTCCGACACCTAGGGAAACAATTTGTAATTTGAATCTGTGTTCATCACGATCAGGTTCCCCCTGTATCCCCCCTACCCGCCTCCCCCAGCCTGGCCAGGCACCCACATCAGTCATCACTGGGGATGGGGTTTCTGTGCCACAAGGCAGCTTTCTTCTGTGACTCCTTTGGTTGCCCTCCCTGTCTTGTGCCCGCAGGCTTCATCTTCTCTCTCATCTGTGACCCCAAGGCTCCTCTCCAGTGTCCTTCTTCTGCAGGCACTCTGTTAATCTCCTGCCCTTCCCAGCCATCTCCTGGCCCGTCCTGGAGGGGACATCTAGTCTAGAAACGTGGTGCAGGGGATCCTGCCTGGAATAGGGCTGCATTTCCCCCCTTCTCCTGTCATGTGTTGGGGAGGGGAAATAGACCCTGGGGTGCAGAGAAGGAAGAGAGAAGAGGTGGGAGGGAAACACCGTGACAACAACCGAATGGTGCCTTCCAGGTGACCTGTGTTGGAGGGGGCCTAAGCTAACTTAGTCGTTAGCAAGTCAGGAGACTAGCTAAGGACTGCTGGACTTAAAATGCATTTAATTTAGAGGCCCTTTTAAAGACCAAGACCACAAAACTGTGACTAGAAAATTGAGTGCAGAGCCGGAGCAGAGGTTCATATTAGGAAGAGGCTTTGAAATGTCACCAGCTTCACATCGAATCTGCCTCTCTGCGTGGTGTGTAGCTGAATTTGAGTCAAGAGTTGCCTAAGCTGTTGGAGGTGGTGAGGGATGGCTATTCCTTCATACCGGCGCTATGGGGCTCCAGTGAGCAGACACTTCTGAGGACATTTCTTAGCCAAATTTTCATCCTAAGTGGGCACAACACGGTTTATACAACCTGTCCGACCATTCAATGACACCCCAGCTCCTGGCCTTTTAGGTGATCCAAGCATGCAGCCTCTGTCAAGGTGAGCCGGCAATACCCTCATGGTCACATTCTGTACCTTCCCAGTGGCCTCAAGCAGTCTGACTTCACTGTGCTCTGCCCAAGGATCAGACCTTGGGTGCTGTCCTGGGGGTACCCAGCACTGGCCATTGCTCTTCAGTGCCTGGTTCATGTAAGGCTGGGGAGTGATGACAGATAATTTTAGTGAATCCACATGCTCTGAATACATTTCATTTCACCGATGGAAATCATTTTCTAATATTAACTATGCTACTTGAAAGTCACTTCCTTGATCAATAAAAACCCATTTTTCACATACAGTATGTTCATTTGCAAAACATTTAAATTGTTAAATAAATGTATGTATTTATTATTTAAAAATTGTGGTTAAATACATGAAATGTAAAATTTACCGTGTTTTCTTGAGACAGAGTCTTACGCTATCATCCATGCTAGAGTGCAGTGGTGCAATCTCGGCTCACTGCAGCCTCCATCTCCTGGATTCAAGTAATTCTCGTGCCTCAGCTTCCCAAGTAGCTGGGGTTACAGGCACAGACCACCATGCCCAGCTAAGTTTTGTATTTTTAGTAGAGATGGGGTTTCGCTATGTTGGCCAGGCTGGAAAATGCGCCATCTTAACTGCTGTAAGTATACGTTCTGATAGCATTGAATACGTTCACATTGCTATGCAACCATCATCACCATCTATCTTCAGAACTCTCTGCATCTTGCAAAATGAAAACTCTGTCCCCATTAAGCAATAACTCCTCATTCCCTCCTTCCCTGAGCCCCAGCACTCATCATTCTACTTTCTGTCTATGAAGTTGACGACTTTCACTACTTCGTTAAGTGGAATCGGACAGTACTTGGCCTTTTGTGATTGTCCCATTTCACTTGGCGTAATCTCCTCAAGGTTCATCCATGTTGTGGCGTGTGTTATAATTTTCTACCTTTTTAATGCTGAGTTCCATCGCATGCATATACCGCCTTCTGTTTCTCCACTCATTCTTCAATGGACACTTGAGTTGCTCTATGTTTTGGCTTATTGTAAACAGAGCTGCTATGAACATGGGTGTTTGACTATCTCTTTGTGACCCGGATTTGGATAAATGTCCGGAACTGGGATGCCTGGGTCATGTGCAAATTTAATTTTAATTTTTTGAGGAACTGCCCAACTGACTTGCAAAATGTGAATTTTTGATGGCGCTAATGATAACAGATGAACTTATATTTGTTGCCCCAGTGTATCAGTCTGTTTTCACACTGTTAGACAGAACTACCTGAGACTGGGTAATTTATGAAGAAAAGAGGTTTCATTGACTCACATTTCTGCAGACTTAATAGGAAGCATGACTGGGAGGCCTCAGGAAACTTACAATCATGCTGGCAGAGGTAGGGAAAACAAGCACATCTCACCACAGTGGGGCAGGAGAGAGATTGAAGGGGAAAGTGCCACACACTTTCAAACAATCAGGTCTCATGGGAACACACTCACTAGCACAAGAATAGCAAGGGGGAAATCAGCCCCCATGATTCAATCCCTCCCCACCAGGCCTCTCCCCCAACACACAGGGATTATAATTTGAGATGAGATTTCAGTGGGGACTCAGAGCCAAACCTTATCACCCAGTGTGTGTCCCTTTCTGATTAAGTGCCGCTGACCACCTCTGGTCTGGGCGTTCTAGAGAGCAGGTGAGAGCTGCTTATCTCTAGAATGCAAGTGTAAACTCATTGCACTTACATAACATTCCAGCCATTGTTCTGAGATATTACAGCTGTAACTCACGGCCGAAGAAACCCTGAATTCCTACACAGATCGGGAAGCTCTTTAACAATGGAGATCAAATCTAGTATTTCTTTATTTTCCTTTGCTTTGTGGTAGTTACTCAGTTAAATGTGTCAGAGAGGTAAGAAAGAGATCTGCCTCACGGAAAATCCGAATTCTAGTATTGTGTCTTTACTTTCTCACACGGGATTGTTCCACAAGCTGACCACTTCCTTATCCTCACAGCTGCAAAAATCTACTACCGAACAACCTGACTGAAGGAAGATTTGTGTGGGAAAATACAGTTGAAAGCTCCAGTTCATCTCCCCTGTATGGGTATTATTTACTGGTGGGAGGTTTTCTGAGAGAGATGAGACTTCTTATTTTTGATTAATTAATTAATTCAAGGTCTCTCTCTGTAGCCCAGGCTAGAGTTCACTGACGGCTTCATGGCTCATGGAAGTATTGAACTCCTGGGCTTAAGCCGTCCATCCTCCCGCCGCAGCCTCCTGAATAGCTGGAAGTAGAGAGCATGCCGCCATACCCAGCAAGTTCTTCTACTTTTTGTAGAGATGGGGTCTCCCTATGTTTCCCAGGCTGTTCTCGAATGCCTGGCCTCAAGTGATCCTCTTGCCTTGGCCTCCCAATGTGTTGGGATTACGGGCATGAGCCACCATACTTGGCCAGGACTTCCTGGTTTCAGGATTTGCATCCAGCTGTTGCTGTCCACCAAGCATCTGGGCTATTCCTTCACACAGTAAAAAGTGGGACACAGGCCCTTCCTTGGTCATTTTGCTGCTGCCAAAGTCCTCACCCTGTTCTCTTTCAAGTCTTTCTGTCAGGTCTGATCATGCAATTCAGTTGAGGTGGGGAGGGGAGGGGAGTGAAAGGAAGTAGGAGGTCAAGGAGGCAGATGAAGTTTCCTTTCCTCTTTGAATTTTGCGGTGACTGATCAAACTGCCACCTCTGCCTGCCTTTGTTCCTCAGCTTCATCTTACTCTCCAAATAATAATAATTCTGCCAGGTGCAGTGATTCACGCCTGTAATCCCAGCACTTCCGGACAGCAAGGCGAGAGGATAGGTTGGGACCTATCCTCTCAAGAGTTTGAGACCAGTGTGGGCCACACAGGGAGACCTCATATCTACAAAAAATTTACAAAAGAAAATAGCCAGGCCTAGAGGCATAGCCTGTCGTACCAGTTACTTGGGAGGCATGCACGCACGCGCGCGTACACACACACACACACCACCCCCAACAAAAATGATTGTAATCAGTACTTTAAGCTTGTATCAGATCAAATGACAGAAACCTGAACGTTTGGCCCTGCAGGTTGCAGGCTAACACTGAGGTCTGCTTGAGGGACTCTGGCTAGGATTTGCTGGAGAGAAAAAAAATCAGCCATCTCATCTTCGTTTTTAATTAATGCAGTCAGTCACCAGTTTTTCGTTCCAAAGTGTCACAAGCAGGAAATCAAAGAAAGTCTTGTATAAATAATAAGAAAAAGAGGTTCTATCTATTAGTAATGGAAAGCATTTTCAAGGAGAGCTTGACATCGCTGATAGGCTCCACACTCCCTTCAGGTGAAACCTCTCAGAAATCATAACATAAATTATAGATGTGTCCAAAGCTTTTTAGGATAGGATATTAAAGATCTCATTTTAATAGTATCTTAAGTCAAAAGAAAAAAAATATAGAACAGCCTCTTATCTAGGTCATAACACAAATCCTTCTGATTCAACCAAAATGAAAACAACTTTTAGCTTTTTTATGATTGGCTTTTGTTTTGGTTTTGTTACAATTTTGAGAAGGAGTCTGTGAGAGATCATTCTAGGGGTTTGTTTTTATTCTCTCATAGTTTCTCTGAAAAACTTGTTCAGGGAGGAGGAAAGGATGATCCTGATTCATTGGACCTGTCAGATCTGAATCCTCAGCCGGAGAAGGAACGGATTCCCCTCCTCTCCTCCAGCAGCTTGCAATGGTCAGTATGAACTGTCAGTCATGGGGATGCCGAGCTGTGTGCTCAGTCTCCTTCAGGGCTGGTTGGTTTCCTCTGCGTTTGTGGTGTTAAACCTGCTGAAATGTACTAGCTGAAGTGTGCTGCCTTTAACTCCCGTGCTCACGGTGAAATGTCTCTCTAGGACTTGCCAAGGCAACGCAAGCTAATATTCACTTCAAATGGCAACAAGCCCTGAGTATTAGTTGCCATTTACATTTTTATCCTTCTAGAAGAGGTTTCTTCACTCACCACCACCCTCACTCACACACCCATGACGTCATCATGTTTCTTGCCTGCGACTCCCTCCTTGCTTTAGCAGATTCCCGAGTAGACTTGAAGCGAAAGCGTCACGTGGCAGGCAGTCCACAAGAATCTGCTGGGATGCCACTATTTGCTGGGAGTGTCGTGTCTTGACGTACATCATTTTGTGAGCTCATCCCCGTCACCAGAGGAGGCTGGTAGGATGTATGGTTGATATGAAATAAAAAGACCCAGGTTTGAATGGAGCTCTAACCACTTACTACTCATACATACGACCTGAACATTTTTTGTTTGAGGCAGAGTCTCACTCTGTTGCATAGGCTGGAGTGTGTAGTAGCATGATCATAGCTCACTGCAGCCTCAAACTCCTGAGTTCAAGTGATCCTCCCGCCTCAGCCTCCAAGTAACTAAGAGTACAGGTGCATGCCAAATGCCTGGTTAATTTTAAACATTTTTTTTTTGAGGCAGAGTTTCACTCTCGTGGCCCAGGCTGGAGGGCAATGGCAGGATCTTGGCTCATTATAACCTCCGCCTCCTGGATTCAAGCAATTCTCCTGTCTCAGCCTACTGAGTAGCTGGCATTACAGGTGCCCATCACCATGCCCAGGTAATTTTTGTAGAGATGGGGTTTCACCATGTTGGTCAGGCTGGTCTTGAATGACTGACCTCAGGTGATCCACCCACCTTGGCCTCCCAAAGTGCTGGGATTACAAGTGTGAGCCACAGCACCTGGCCAAATATTTAAACAAAAATGTTTTTGTTCATAAAAACGGAGTTTCACTACATTGCTCAGGTTGGTCTCCAGCTCCTGACCTCAAGCAATCCTCCCACCTCAGTCTCCCAAAGTGCTGGAATTACAGGTGTGAGCCACCACACTGGGCCTGATCCATGCATTTAAACTCCTTGAGAGTTCTATTTTCTGTCATTTGGGAATATACTATTTTCTACTTCATATGATCACTAAGGAGACTGAATTTAAAAATGCTCAGTGATAGCTTATAAATATCCCTTTATTCCCCAGGAAAACCAACAAGGCTATGAAGCATTTTGAAGTTGACTGCATTTTGCAATGAAGTACACCAATGAGCTATTCTCTATACAAGGGGCGGTTTTGAAGTGTGAATGGAAGCAAGCCTGGGTCAGGAGCTCTGAGAACACTGCTGCCCTGGAATCATCACAGCAATGACGAAAGAGCAGAACCTTCATAAGGTAAATTAGAAAACTTCCCACGCTACCAGCTAGTTCTTTTATTCCTAAATGAGGAGTGGAATCACTAAAGAAAAATCACAACTGCATTCTTAGAATGTGAATCTGCTGATTTACTAACAGATACTTAATGATTATGCAATATATACCAGGTAATATTCCAGGGACACGTTGTAAGCAGGACAGACAGGCTACTTTCTCTCATGAGTCTTGCATTCCAAACGCAGAAACAGAGATAATAAAGAAATAATGGGCTAGGTGCAGTGGCTCATGCCTGTAATCCCAGCACTTTGGGAGGCCCAGGCGGGTGGATCACCTGAGGTTAGGAGTTTGAGACCAGCGTGGCCAATATGGTGAAACCCCGTCTCTACTAAAAATGCAAAAATCAGCCAGGTGTGGTGGTGCATACCTGTAGTCCCAGCTACCCAGGTCTTGAGACAAGAGAATTGCTTGAACTGGGAGGTGGAGGTTGCAGTGAGATGAGATAGCACCAGTGCACTCCATCATGGGAGAGCAAGACTTAAAATAATAGTAATAATAATAATGCAAAAAAATATAAGAAATCATGGGTGTTATAATGAAAACAAAACAGGGTGATGTAGGTTAGAATGACTGGGAGGTTTCTTTAGATTGGAAAGTGAGAGAAAACTTTTGTAAGGGGTGCTCTTTGAACGTCATCCTGAATGACAAGAAGACAGTCCTGTGAGCCTTGGGGAAGAGTGTGACGGCCAGTGGAGAGAAGGTCTGAAGTGGGCGTTCTAAATTCACGGCTCATTGAAAAGTGGTCAGTATTTGTCCTTGAATATATCACAAAAGAAACCCAGAGGGCAGATGTATTTTCACACACAGGGACAGGCACACTGATGTCTCAGAAGTTCAGATCTGGTGCGCAGTTTCTGGTCGTGCCTAAGAGGACAAAGTGGTATGGGGTATCTGTAAATAACCCACTTTTGTGTGGCAGGTGCCATCACAGTCCCCAGTGAGGGACAACGGTGAGTTGTGATTAGGTGAGCTGGCCTTCCTGAAGGGGGTTAATTATTCTCCGTGTTTAGAAAGTGAAGGTTGTAGAGGTGGTCCAACGGTGAGCGGTGGCACTTGGGTTTTTTGGGACAAGCAGTGGAGAGCCCTGGAAGTGCTGAGAAATGGACTTTCTGAAGAGAGGAAGTCTAAAAATGTCTATCTCTCTGCGGGAGGATATGCACAGCTGTTCCCTGCCTCTGGCCCCTTGGCCGTGCCCCCTTGCTTCTTCCCCCACCACTCTGCCCAGTCTGGACTCATTCCTCACATGTCCAGTTTAATATGCTGCTCCTTCTAGATGTAAGCAACCCCTTCCCTGAATGCCCAGGTTTATAATGGGAAGGTTGCTATGACAACACCATAGCAGAAATAGCCAATAGAATTTAAACCCAGCCATGCTAGGAAAGGCCATGGTTTCGAGTGTCTATAAATTAGTGGATATCAGGAGAAACCTCACCTCATGCTCAGATCAGTCTTGGAAGGTAAACAAGTGTTCTCATGTGACAGAATCCAAAGAGTTCGAAACCAGCCTGGCATTCAGCATGGAGTAGACATTGGTCAGGAATTGGGTTATTCCTCCTCAAGAATAAAAGTTGCTTTGTCCTATTGCTCACTTAAAAGCTGGTTTTGTTTTTGTTTCTTTTTCTAAGACAAGGTCTCGCTCTGTCACCCAGGCTGGAGTGCAATGGTGCAATCATAATTCACGGTTGCCTCCAAATCCTAGGCTCAAGCAATCCCCCTGCCTCAGTCTCCTGAGTAGCTGGAACTACAAGTGCACGCACGCCATTGGGTCCTGCTAATTTTTACATGTTTTTGTAGAGATGGGGTCTTGCTCTGTTGCCCAGGCTGGTCTTGAATTGCTGGCCTCTAGCTATCCTCCCACCTTGGCCTCTCAAAGGTGTGAGCCACTGTGCCCCACTAAAAGCTGTGTTTTCTCATTTCTAGGCTTCCTTGCATTTGTACACGTTCCCTCTTTATTATTATTAATCTATCACTGGGTGATTATTCCTGTGATGAAATTCATTCCTGCTAAATTTCCAAAGCCCCACCAACCTCAAGCAGAGACTAGGAGGGGTCACTGGCTCCTGTTAATTTAGGTCTTTATCCATTTCTCTTTTAATAGAGAGGTATTTCAGCCCCAAACGTGAAATTTGGGAAGAAAAAAATAAGACTTAACTATAATGATCACTTTCCAGTCACTTTGCAAATCCTGTTTCTCTTCCTTGTCATTCATTCATATAAATAAGTGGCTTGCTTTTAAAATTCGGTTGTCTTAGTTAGCAGCTTTATTCAGGAATTTGAAGGGGGGTTCTTCAAGAAGTGATAAATGGCGCATCAAAATTTTGCTGTGCTTGCTGTGCAACTGTAGGTGACCAGTGATTCTTCAGTAAAAGGGAAGATACAACTTATGAAGGCTGCTGAGGTCTTCTTAGCACAGCTACTGAGAGGGAAGTGTATGCCATAAGTCTTGGCTATAATGCTCATCTGTATATCTACATGATTGTAATTAATCAGCACACATTATATTAAATGATTACCAAAAGGAACATAAAATTGATTTCTGCTGATTTTTTAAAAAAGTAAACTCAAGTGAATTATATTCTGTCTGAAAAGTACTGAATCATTTTATGTGAGGATTTTTGTTTTAGTTAATTCCCTGATAAGGCAAAATTACAAAGTAGGTTAGTTAATCTATCTCACATCTTTGGGAGCCTTTGTTTTAGTTTTTTTCTGTTGCTATAACAGAATACCATAGACTGGGCTATTTATAAAGAAATCAAATTTAGTTCTGGAGGCTGGGCAGTCCAAGAGCGTGGCACTGGTAACTGGTGAGAACCTTCTAGCTGTATCATAACATGGGAAGGGCAAATGAGCCCATGAGACAGAGAAGGGCGTCAGGGGCTGGACTCACTTTATAACAACCCATTCTTGCAATAACAAACCCACTTCCATGATAATGTCATTGATTCATTCATGAGGGCTCTGTCCTCAGGACTCTGTCACCTCTTATTACAACCCATCTCCTGACACTATTACATTGAGGATTAAGTTTCTAACACATGAACTTACAGGAAACACATTCACACCTTAGTAGTCCTTCTTCCCAAATTTCAATGCTGAAATATATTTTCCGTGCCAAGTGCTCTAATTCTGCCGAAATCCAACTGGATTTCATTAATTATTTCAACAAGTAGTTGAAATAATTCTAAGCCAGGAGATCTGATAAACCAATTCACCCAGAAGTGAACAGCAGTAACAAGGAGTCTCTCTGAGGGCTATCTGATTTTTCTGGTTTGTGTTTTAATTTTGTTTTCCTTTTTTTAAATTAAAATTAAAATTTTTACTTTTTATGGGTACATAGTAGGTAAATATATTTACGTGGTATATGAGATATTTTGATACAGGCATACAATGTGTAATAATCACATCAGGGTAAACAGCATATCCTTCACCTCAAGCACTTATCATTTCTTTGTATTACACACATTCCAATTATACTCTTTTGGTTATTTTTTAAAGTACAGTAAATTATGGTTGATTATAAGCACTCTGTTGTGGTATCAAATACTAGATTTTAGTAATTCCATCTAAGTGTATTTTTGTCCCCATTAACCATGCTTACATCCCCCTCCCCAACCTCCACCATCCTTCACAGCCTCTGGTAACTGTCATTCTACTTTCTATCTCCATGAATTCAATAATTCAATTGTTTTAATTTTTAGCTCCCACAAATTAGGGAGAACATATGGAGTGTGACTTTCTCTGTCTGGCTTATTTCACTTAACATAATGTCCTCCAGTTCCATCCATGTTGTTGCAAATGACAGGATCTCATCGTTTAATGGCTTTTAATTCTTTTTCATAGTACTCCATTGTCATTATGTACCACATTTTCTTTATCCATTCATCTGTTGATGGACACAGGCTGCTTCCAAATCTTGGCTGTTGTGGAGAGTTCTGCAATAAACATAGGTGTGCATGTAGCTCTTCAATATACTAATTTCTTTTGGGTATATACCTATCAGTGGGATTGCTGGATCATATGGTACTTCTCTTTTTAGTTTTTAGAGGGACCTCCAAACTGTTCTCCTTAGTGGCTGTATTAATTTACATTCCCACCAACAGTGTATGAGAGTTCTCTTTTCTCCACACCCTTGACAGCATTTGCTATACCCTATGTTTTGGATAAAAACCATTTTAACTGGAGTGATATGATACCTCATTGTAGTTTTGATTTGCATTTCTCTGATGATCAGTGATGTTGAGCAATTTTTCATATGCCTGTTTGCCATTTGTGTGTCTTCTTTTGAGAAATGTCTATTCAGATGTTTGGCCCATTTTTCATGGGATTATTAGATATATTTCCTATTGAGTTGTTTGAGCTCCTTATATATTCTGGTTATTAATCTTTTGTAAAATGGATAGCTTGTAAATATTTTCTCCCATTCTGTGGGTCATGTCTTCACTTTGTGGATTGTTTCCTTTTCTGTGCAGAAGCTTTTTAACTTGATGTAATTTCATTTGTCCATGTTGGCTTTGCTTGTCTGCGCTTTTGAGTTATTACTTAAGACGTCTTTGCCTAGACAGACCATTATCCTAGAGAGTTTCTTTAATGTTTTCTTATAGTAGTTTCATAGTTTGAAGTCATAGATTTAAGTCTTTATTCTGATGTGATTTTTATATATGATGAGATATAGGGGTTTAGTTTCATTTTTGTATATGATGAGAGAAAGGGGTTTAGTTTCATTCAGTACTTTTTCTCTTTTTTCTGCATATAGATATTGAGTTTTTCCAGCACCATTTATTGAAGAGACTGTTGTTTCCCCAACGTATGTTCTTGGCGTCTTTGTCAAAAGTGCGTTCACTGTAGATGTATGGATTTATTTCTGGGTTCTCTACTCTGTTCCATTGGTCAGTGTGTCTGTTTTTATGCCAGGACCTTGCTGCTTGGGTTACAATAGCTCTGTGGTATAATTTGAAGTCAGG